TTCATTCATTCATAGTAAAGCAAGCTTTGTTCAGACAAAGTTCACTCTAGCCAACTTATACACTCTCTCTTCTTCTTTAGCGCATTATCCCAGTAACTTATTTGCAAGTTAATATCAGTAACTTGTAATTTCTTTATTTTGTGAATATAAAGATTTTACTCTAGTTTAATTCATCATCATTCCTTATATCTATCTACAACTTGTGATTCATGTCTTCCGCATCTTGTTTTATTTTGGTATATATATATATATTAGGGATAACTTGTGTGTACGGTGCAATGCAAGTGAGAAGTGATGGAATTGACCAAAAGACCTTTGGTTCAATGATATTTCTTACCTTGTGAAAGTTTTATTTTTACTGTTCACCACCACCATTGGTCCATTACCATTCTCTCTCTCTCTCACAAACACACAGAGTATCTATTTTACCTGCATGACCTATACCAATCACCTACCTTAGAGTTTCTCGAACTCTCGGTTCATTTGGTAATATTATTTTAAACTTTCTTACCATAATTTCAAGGTCTTTTTGTACCCGAAATATTAAAATTATTATTTTACCCCTTAAAACTTTAACATCAACCAAGTGTCCATCTTAAAGTTTCTTAACATTCCGAATTTAATGATAATGTTATTTTGATATAGAAATATTTATATTTATGACTAATTACCTTCCCTAATCTAGTAACACTTCCATTCATCAATTTGCCCCAAAATTTAAATCCGGCGAAACCTAAACCTAAACCTAACTATGACGGTTTGTTTCATGCTACCCATGAGGCTTAGTAAATTAATTTTATTCAGTTAACATGTACTCATGTTTTAAATCATTAATAAATTTTAATGTTCAATGTTTTATTCAAACTCATACAAAATGAAGAGAAAATTAATTTTTTATTTGAATGAAGAGAGATTTAAATATTTACTCAAATTTATAATATTCAAATTTCATGTTCTTTTAAAGATTCAATGATTAGATTTCACCCTCTTTTAAATTTGAGTTTTTTCTCATTTAAATTTAAGAAACTGCTAAATGGACTTAAAAACTTGACTTGATAAATTACTATCATTAATTAAATAGGTGGTGAGTCCTAATAAATATTGGGACCTACAATTAAATCAATGATAAATATAACAGTCACATCATCAAATCAAGTTTTTAAGCCAATTTTTTAAATCTATGTAGCATGGCACTTAAATTTGACTTAAAAACTTACAGATTTAAAAATTATAACATAAATGAAGAATTCTATATTTTCATATCTCTAAATAAAGAAAACACTCATTGCAGGAATATGTAGAACAAATCTGAAAAGTATCTTAACCTTTCAATAATGTTATGGAGTCTTAATTTATATACCTAATTTGTCGAATTAATTCACTATAGTTATTGGGTTGATCATTGGTGTCATCAATCATTTAAACTTGGTGTTAATCTAACGGTTACAATTAAATTACAGCATTAGGTCAGTAAATTAGATCAAATTTTTAAATCCCAAAAAAGATTATTGCTTAACCTTTTAACTTTTTAGAGGAACCAAATGATAAATGATTCTTACAACAAATTTTAATAGTATATACATTACATTTGCTCAGAAGAGAATCAAGGAGAACACTTGATGATTCTTTTGACATTAGATATACACAATCATAAATACACCTCCTTTTTTTTTTTTTTTTTTTTATAGTGGTGGCATTTTTTAAACTCATATCTACAACACAAATGGTAGATATGCACCATAAATAACCCGGGACGGACTCAAAATTATATATATACTAGGGAAAATTTGTGTCTAAAAGTACGGTACAATGTGAATGGTTTTGAGAAGGATTGTTGGTGGCCATTGAATTAATCTATTTGATACCATCGGATGAATTTATTAAAATCTGTCATGTTTTATATTATAGATATAACATACATAATAAATTACCTAACAACTTAAATTTTTATCCCTTACATATTTTTTCCCAAAAAAAGTACACTACATATTTCTATCACATGTACAATCATTTAATATTTGATTAATTTATAATTTAACATAATTTTTATTTCAGATATTATCCATATACATCAATGTACACATGCTCAGAAATTTTTTTCGAATTACATATTTTGAAAAAAAATTATCTATACTTTTAAAAAAATAATGAATAAAAATAAATTTTAAATGATAAAATCAAATAAATGAAGAAAATAAAAATTATTATTTAATATAGTGTGATCAATTTTTTAAGTGTTTGAATTTTATATTTCATCGTACCTTCAGACACGAATTACGACTAGTATATATATATATATCGTATAGTGAGTAACGTTAAAAAAAAACACTTTCCCAGGAAAATGTGTAAATTTCCGAGAAAATTCAGGTGACTACGAGTTTGAACAGAACAAAATAAATTGTTGTTTTTTTTTTTTTTTGTCTGAATTGAAACAGAATTGATGACATGTTAAGGACAAAGAAACAAGAAGAAAACAGAAAGAGAAAAGGCATCAAATAATATAATTGTAAATAGACGTACATAAGCAAAATGTACACACAAGCAATCTAGTGGTATGCTTGTTTATAAATAAAATTCTAGTTAGAAAGTTTGTTATCGAAACTCTTCCTATTGTGGGAAACATTTATACATCACCACTTCTCTCTCTCTCTCTCTCTCTCTCTCACAGTACCACCACTTCAGCCATTTTTCCTCTTCTCAACATACATAAAACAGTCCAAGCTTTAACATGTATAGGTTGAAAAAACTCTCTCTCTCTCTCTCTCTCTCTCTCTCTCTCTCTCTCTTTAACATCAAATCATTTCTAGCTTTAACATATATAGATTGAAAAACTTCTTTCTCCCTCTAACTGACAGCAGAGAAGCCATGCAGTGGAGAAGAGGCATTGCTTTGATTATACTTGTCGTGGGTTTTACTTTTGGGATACAGACATGCTTGGCAGCTGGGATTAGTAGAGGAAGCTTTCCGAAAGGTTTTGTTTTTGGTACGGCCTCCTCTTCTTACCAGGTTCGTTTTTACCCTTTTTTTTTTTTTAAAAAAAAAAACATCTCTAGATCACACTAACATGTTCAAGATGTTTTTCCTTCTTTTGTTTATGGATTAATTGTTTTTTAACCCTCTATGTTTTCGGCTAAAAGTTATTATCTCCTTATAGTTATGTACTAAACTAAAGTAATTACGTCGTTAACTGAAATAAAAACATTATCGTAATACCAACATTTTAAAATTAAATTTTTTGCTCGATTTACTTGTGATCATAAAATCTATAGAACATGACAACAAACTAACATATTTCAATCAAACATGTCGAGTCTCTTTTTCCCTTAAGTGAAGATTTGTTTCCGAGATCGAAAAACACTATTGTTTTTTTTACATGTTTTTTGATCTGTAACCGATGTTCTTCCTATTTTGTTTTTATACTATATATTATAAAAGGTGTTTTAGACACTTAGACAATATTCTTTTAGAGGTAAACAATAGAAACAAAGTTTACAGTATGTTTTGGGTGTATAGACCACACTCTCTGTTAACTTGAATGATAAAAATAATCACTTCACTTTGATACATAAATATAAAAGGATAATGTGCATAATTTTAAATGTCAAGTACGTAAAGTGCTTCTAACCGAAATTACAAGAAAATAAAAAATAATAAACCCCTTATTTTTTGATAGCGAGCTATGAAATAGCAATGAGATTATCTTATTGTAATCTGAGTATCAATATTTAAACTACAAAAAAAATTGCTCATCGGGCTCTCCGCTTCTAATCATTAAGTAGTGCTATTCTCGCAGACTGAATTCCAACAATGACCATTTTTATTTCAGTTTTTCTTGACATGGCCAAGGATAGTTTGGTCAATTTATCCGTTAAAATAGTATCGGCCAATAGACATCATATCCTTTAATAGCCGGTAAAGTTTCATATATTATGAAATGCCCCATATCTTTTACAATATTTTGATTCCCTCCTTTTCTTTTTTGCTTTTGCCTTTTGCCTAGGTTAACTTTTAACTTCGTTGTGATAGTAACAACCAATGATTGGATCGAAGATGAGGAAAATCAAATCAATACTTATCTCTAGCAAGAGAAAATACAAGTGACAATGATATTTTGGGCAAGGCCTCGCAGGGTCAATAACTGCTGAATTAAGAGGAAAAAAAAATTATAAATGGAAACAAATTTTTGAAAATATGTCATAAATTCTAAAATTTGGCAAGACTTATTTATTTATTTTTTGGAGGGGGAGCATGTTTTTCTATGTAGGAATAGATCTTGTTAATTGTTTAGATTTTGTTCGATCCGAATTTTACTGATCAAATTATCTAACATCTATTTATTTATTAAGAGTTTATTTGAAACTAATTTCAATAGGTAGTTTTTAAGAGTTTTAAAGTAAAATAAGTCAAATCCGTTTGGACCTTGGCTTTATTACTAGTTTATGAATCAGTTTTTTGGATCAAAAAAAGATTATTTAGGCTGATTTTATATGAGGTTTTTTTTTTCAATTTTTTGGAGTTTTGTCGCGGGCCTCACATAATTTTTTAGCTTATTATATTCATAAAATATTATTAGTGACGTACAAAAATTTAAAATTCAAACAATTTTTGAAAACCTTTTTGATTCTGACATTTTTTTTTTTAAACTTTTCAAATCATAGTTTTTCACTTAAAAAAAACAATTCCAAGCAAGCCCATAAAACAATTATATTTTTAGGAGAAAAGCCTTCCTTCCGACTTTTTTAAATTTCTATAATTTTATTTAATTAATAGCAAAATTAAATATTCTCTAACCAATAACCAACACTTAATATAATTATCTTTTCATTATTCTTTCAGTATCATACTAATTAATCGCTTTTCATTTAATTTTTTTTAAAAAAAATCTGTTTCAATCCCCTGTAAACTTTAATAATTCCTGACCTACCCGTTTTGCGTGATAGAAAAAGAGAGGCCAAAAGAGTGTGAATGAACAAGTCAGGTAAAGCCGACGAGTTATAAATTTCGTGCATCAGGACACAAACTCTTATAAAATACTGTTAAAAATCAAAGTCCAGTCCCAAACTCCTATTAACTCACGACTGAATTTTGACAAATCACGTTTTAATTTGCACATAGAATTCTTATCTAATTAATATTTGTATATTTAATCCAAAATATAAGATTCAATTTCCAATTAAAACACAAAGCTGTCTATGAAAGCTAGATTTGCTTGTGGGCCAGCTAGTTCATTCATTGTTGATTATCTCTTATTAATCAGTTCATTTATACTACGTGCAGTATGAAGGAGCAGTTAAGGAGGACGGAAGGGGACAAACCATCTGGGATAAATTTGCACATTCTTCTGGTAAGTTTTTTATCATCAGACCAAGGAGAATGTTAGTTTTCTTATTCATGACAGTAATAGTTTTTTTTCTTATGGATATAACTAGTTTTGTAACCTTTTCCAAGTATCATTTCTTTAAATTTTGCTACATAAGGCCCAATTTAGGAGGGTTTTGTGGTTGCAGAATTGAGATTGCTTGATTGTGATCTGGTCATTAGGTTTGTCAATCGTGTTGGGTGGAACAGCCTCGTATTGGGTTTTGTCAAAAAAAATACTCTACTCATATTTGATTCGTTTATTAGTTCATGTCATATCGGATTCCTGTCGTTATAACTAGTACATAAACGAGTCGTGACGTATATTTTAATTGATTAGTTTCATTCATACCTGATTCGTTTATTAATTGTATCGTGTCAGGTTCACTAGTTTACGAAACAGATGGCTTAACGAAAACTCAAACCCTCTAATTTCATATTACATTAACGTGTCATGTCATATTTTGATACTCTTACTAATCTCGTGCTTTGAGTCACCAAAACAGTTTCTGAACAAGTGAAAGTAAAGTTGCATATATTTAACTCTTCACAAAATCCGTAACAATCCCGACGCGTTCAGTAGACTGCCTTTTTCTGTTCTACAGACAATGTAAACTTTTTTTTCCCTATATTGTGTTACCCATGACTAATATAGACAACTTGACAAAATGGACTATGTTGCAGGAAAAATATCTGATTTTAGTAATGCAGATGTTGCTGTGGATCAGTATCACCTTTATCCTGTTGAGTATTCTGACTCATTATAACTTTGTACCTTTTTTCTAATAGAAACAATGGGTAGCTTGATACATGGCTGTAAGAGAATGCCCATGTCAAGCACTTCCCACAAATGGGAGGGACTTAGTCCTGAAAGTCTAGGGCCAACATTACATATTCTTGTAGTATCATGCATAATGGTACACCCAAGGATAATATAACATTTCATTTTCATCTAAACGTTTTGATTTTTATGAAAACCAAAATAAATCAGTTATTAAATTTTGAGGTGTTTCGGAATGTTTCAGTATGTTTCAATTATTTTGTAACCAATCTTCCAAACTTTATCTGTTTCTATCATGTCTCCAAAATATTTCCTTTTCCAAAATGACCCTTCCCAGACTCGGTGGCAATAGTTTCATGCACCAGGCTGTCATTATTTTCCTTTTCCGAGACAATTTGAAACTATGCACCAAAAGATTCAATCCTTGGTGGTACCTACTTTAGGAAGCACTTACATTAGAGCATTTTAGTTGCTACCTCAGTGTTTCAACTGAAATTTGCTGATATAGGTCAAAAACAAAGTGTTAATGCTAATCTGGTTGTTCTGAAACAGGGAGATATTCAACTTATGAAGGATATGGGAATGGATGCCTACAGGTTTTCAATTGCATGGTCTAGGATTTTTCCCAGTAAGCCTTCTTTAATGTTACCAACTGCAAGGGTCTATTAGTGATTCAGCATTCACTTGAATAATCTAATTTCCTTTTGTCTTCTCTAATTATAAGATTGGGTATTCTTGTTAATAAGAAAAGTTTGGCTTTTGTTTACTTTCAATGTAATCTCACTTTATGCTGGGGGAGAGAAGAGGGGGTCAACCAGAGCCCAGCCCATACTATTCAATACTTGGGCGGAGATTTTCAATCAGAGTTGTATGACCCCCACTTCAACCCGAGTTCAAAAATCTAAGTTGAGGGTTTTATAACTTTTGTTGAGCGTGGTTGATCTCTAAACCGAGTTGTACCCTTAAGTATGTTCAATTTATTGATACATTTATTTAACCCATGATTATCAGCATGTGTTACACAATGACAATGCTCTGAGCAGAGAAAAGTTCAAAATCAATATCTCTGATGGTATTGTGTGATGTAATGATAATGCAATACTTTATAATTACTTTTCATATTGTGTACATTTAATTTCTGCAATATTCTTCGAAGTGGAAGACTTCTATACAATCTTACTGTTGACAGAAATAAGGGAGAAGTTCTGGTTCTGTGGTTCTGTTTATCAGATGGAACTGGGGAAATCAATCAGGCAGGAGTTGATCACTACAATAACCTCATCAATGACCTGCTAGCCAATGGTACTCTTAAAATGTTACCCTTTTCATTATATTAGATACATGTTGCTTACAAACATTAGATGAAATTTAATGTATAAGGTTTTTCTGTCATCAATCAATTAAGGTGAACTCATTTGAAAAGAAAAACAAAGTCGGCTACAATAATCAATCCTTGATATGGGAGATGATCCAATACAAGAAACCTTTTTATGATCATGAGATTCATCCAATGGTGCTGACGAGTCTTTTAAATTTGCTGCCTATAGTATTGAGAAAATGTGTCACTGTCAGGCAGAGAATGTACATTTTTTTTTTTTTGGGGTAGGGAGAGGGGAGGGGGGACTTGAACCCTTGATCTCAAGAAAGTAAAGTCCTCAAGAAAGTAAAGAATACCATTGGACCAAAGGCCCGTTGGTCAGAGAATATACATAATTGCACTTGAACATGCAGTAAAGTAACTACCATTGCATTCAATGTTGCTATTGCAGGAATTGAACCATATGTGACTCTCTACCATTGGGACCTTCCTCAAGCTCTGGAAGATAAGTATCTTGGATGGCTCAGCCCCCAGATCCTGTAAACGACTCATCTTTGACTCAACTAACCCCCCTTTTTTGCTCTATATCCCATTTGACGCAGGGAATGTAATCTTTGTGATTTCAGAAAAGATTTTGCAACATACGCCGAGACATGCTTTCAGCACTTTGGGGACAGGGTGAAGCATTGGATCACATTCAACGAGCCTCATACTATTGCAGTACAAGGCTATGATGAGGGTATCCACGCACCTGGTCGATGCTCCATCCTTCTTCACTTGTACTGCAAGGCTGGTAACTCTGCAACTGAACCTTACATTGTTGCCCACAATGTCCTCCTTTCTCATGGAGTTGTGGCAGATATTTACAGGAAAAATTACAAGGTAAATATAAAGATTCATATTTGGAATTAGCTTCAATGAACAACACTTCTGAAAACATCTGATATAAAGGATAATTAATGTGTTGCCAAGAAAGAAAATAGCAAGGTAGAATGAGAACAGAATAACAAAGAACAACTGTCGCCCTCTATGAAAAAGTAAACCAGAAAGAAGGGCCATGGAAGTTGAATTGAAATAGTCATGCTTTTGCTGAATTATACATGCCTTTTCATCAGCATGTCACACGTATAATGATGTATATCTTAACAGACTTGTTAATCATTGTAATATTGGTTTGTTTACAGCCAAAACAACATGGATCGATTGGGATAATACTGGACAGTTTTTGGTATGAACCAGCAATGAACTCCACTAAGGACATTGAAGCAACACAACGAGCAATAGATTTTAATTTGGGATGGTAACTATTTGTAACTTGTGTATTTCCGAAATTACAAGGGAAAAATTATCCTTTTGGCTTATGCACAGTGGAATTAAGCGAATACCCTGTACGCAGAACTGGGGCCAGACACAAGCCAGTATTATGCATTGCTTACGTGTGGGTTTTGCCTCTGTGTGCTTATGACCAGCTTGTGTTCGTTGAACATAATGCTCTTTCGTGCTTCCAAAATGCAGATATTTTTTGGCTTTTCGCTATTTTTCTTCCCAATAATCAATGAAATTAATGGAATAACTTTGCATAAATGCAGGTTTATTGAGCCTTTGATCTTTGGTGATTATCCCAGCTCAATGAGAAATAGAGTAGCAAGCCGATTGCCAACTTTTTCAGAAGCTGACTCTGCTCTTCTCAAGGATTCCTTCGATTTTATTGGTATAAATCACTATACTACATGGTACGCCAAGCATAACTCGACTAACATAATTGACGTTCTGCTCCACGACACCAATGCAGACTCCGGTGCCATTACCCTCCGTATGTTTTTAAATATTCCTCCATTTATCTTTGATCTCGAAGATCTTCTTTCTCTTTCATGTTGGGTACTCAAATCTAATTTTTGAACACATGGACATGTTAGCCATCATTTTATCAATAATTGTTTTCTGTCATTTGTTGTTTTACTTGGATGCTAGAGACTAAAGGTTTTTACTATTTATGTTGCCATGTTTTTCATTTTTCAGCTTTCAGAGGCCTCAAAGCTATAAGTGATGACAAGGTATGTAATCTGGAGAGCTAAAGTCTTAGCCCTGTCCTATCATCTGTATAATGGAGTTTGTCATTTATTGAGGGATTTTTCAGGACACTTAAAGCATTGCAGCTGATTGCTTGAGTTTTCTACAAAACTGATATTAGAAGATTATAGACAATGCGAAGACATGCCATTTTTTTTTATTATCGTTCAATAACTAATGTTGCTATGCTCGATTGTTTGGTTTGTCTTGAATTGCAGGCAAATGCCATATGGTTATACATAGTACCTCATGGCATTAGAAGCTTGATGAATTATATCAAGCAAAAGTATGGGAACCCTTTTGTCATAATCACTGAAAACGGTAAGCAACGTCGCTATGAACGCTTGGCTGCTACAAGCCAGTTATTCATGTGGTAACTTTTCTGACACCTCTAGCTTTAAATTCTGAAGGTCTAAAGGATCATTAGGCCACTCTTTCATGGCTCCTATTCGTACTGCAAAATCAGAATCAAATGAGCTTTTACCCTTCTGTTCCATGCCTATACTCTAAAACCTAAAACTTAATTGTCTGGGGCAGTTTGCATGTCCTGATAAATTATCATTTTGATGTTGCATAGAACTACATTTAGGCGTTTCAAGTTTAAGTAGCAAAGGGTTGTTTATTGTATTTCATTTTTCAATTTAACCATGCGTTTTCCAAACTCTTGTTGACAGAAAGTATTACTATTTGCTAGAGCTCTATCTTCTTTTGCCACGGTCTTTGTAGGGATGGATGATCCAAATAGCCCCTTCATCTCAATTAAAGATGCTCTGAAGGATGAGAAAAGGATCAAATACCACAATGACTATCTCGAGAACTTGCTGGCTTCTATCAAGTAAGTAAACCCGATACCAGTTTGTGTGTCAACATGCATCAAATGTTTTGTACATGTGCAAATTCATGTTAATGTGCATAGAATACGATCTATGCAAGAGTGAAAGAGCTAATATCGTTTGATTCTGCTTAATATGCAGAGAAGACGGGTGCAATGTGAATGGTTATTTCGTATGGTCACTCTTGGATAATTGGGAATGGGGATCTGGATTCAGCTCCAGGTTTGGTCTCTATTTTGTGGATTACAAGGACAAGCTCAAGAGATACCCCAAGGACTCTGTTCAGTGGTTTAAAATTTCTTGACTTCTACCTAAATAAGGAGGGTGCAAATGCTGCAATGATACATATATGTTTACCCCAAGGACTCTGTTCACTGTTTTAAAAACTTCTTGACTTCTACCTAAATAAGGAGGGTGCAAATGCTGCAATTATACATATATGTTTGACAATACATTTGACGCGCACAGACACACCCTTGAATCTGCAATGTAAACATGTGTACATGTTCATGATATGTCTGTTATTTTACAGACTTGTTGATTTGCTGATATAAAATGCTTCTCTGGTTAGAAAATGAAAAATTATCACCCTGTTCTCTGTGCAAAGGGAAAAAAAAAAAACACTTCACTTATCTCATTGCTTGTCCAACGATAAACGAACGTGTTATGATTGAAACACATAAGAAGTTTTATTTTGGTTTTTGGTTTTTAATCGTTTGTTGTCATAGACTTGACAATATTTCTTTGTCAGTTGGTGCAACATAACCAGATTGCACCTTCCTACCACAGCTATTAGTAACTTTGAAATGATAAATAAAGGTTAAAATACATTGATAGTCCCTACACTCTGTGAGTTTTGTTCCCAATCATTGAATTGTGTCAATTTGACACCTCAACTTCTCAATTTGTATCAATTTAGTCCAATCAAAAATGTTAATTTGAATTGACTAACGAAGATATTTACACGACCACACTTGAGGGGTCACTTTGGTCCCTTTTTTTTTATCAAGATATCATTTTGGTCCTTAAAACTTATAATTTGTGTCACTTTAGTTCTATTATTTTGCAAGAATGCACCGTAAATGGAACCGGATGATATACATGCAACGACCTCCGTTAGTAAATTATAACTGTCGTTTTTTTATTGGACCAAAGTAACACAAATTAAAAAATTTAGATACTAAATTGACACATTTAAAAAATTGAGAATCAAACTAACACGTAACTCTCTCTCTCTCTCTCTCTCTCTGCTTTCGTACGAAAATCATGTAACAACAAAATTTTTGGATATGTCATTATGAAGCACTTGTATGCCCTTGCATTCATGGCTCTTGCAAACATGACCAACTGTTCAAACTCTTCCTCACTTCATGAAGAGGAGAGAGAAGATGAACAGGGGAAAAACATACCAAACTAGTAGAATTTTGGGATTTTAAGCTTCAGAGAAGTAATTTCAATTCACTAAACTACAATGGCATGTTTGGTAAAAACAATCTGAATCCGAAAAAGAGAAAAAGATAGTAACTCTATTGGTTAGAAACTTGATCCAACTACCATTTCATTCCAGGGATGGTGAGAAACATACTTTCACTGAGAATTATTCATCAGGCTCTAACAAAAGTCAGTGTGCATCATGGTCTTCATACCTGATGCATTGACCCGTAAAAGAATGTCGTATTGCTTATTCATAAAACTCAACTCAATAAAGTCTTGTCCCAATACATTGCTCATTCATATGGCATTGAAATTGTATATGAGAGGAAATCAACAACAGAAGGATTTCAACTTATCCTCCTTAAAAATCTCTCACAATTCCTACGACTATAAACATTTTATTTCCTAGCTTTCGACAAAAAGCAAACCTTCCGATGAACAAATTGACAGAAGTGGGAGCAGCAAATAAAGATAAATAATCTTAGTAGCGCAGCAAGTAGGTCCTGCGCCGGAACCAATTATAGTCAGGCAAACGTTGGATTGGTCCCATGGCTGCTATTGCGATGTCCTGCAACAACCAGAAACATAACAATCATAAGTTAGAGAACACATGTTGGAGTAAAGAGTTCATAAAAATGCATATTTGCGATGAAAACTAAGAACTGCATCAGTTCTTTGGAACTTTTGTGATTAAATTTAGCATACAATCTGCTCGAAAGTCAACCCACGAGTGGGCTCTTGCTAAAGAGGGATGGCCAATGTTTTGGCTTATCTACGATACTCTGGAAGACTGAAGAGCAAGTAGTTCTTGGTCAGAACATGCAAGTCATTGTTCACAAATTTCCTTCAAAAGAGCCCCCAAAGAATAGGGAAACTGTCCCATGCAACTATGTTTGCAACGCTTGCAACCAGATGTGTATTTTTGACACAACTGCCATTGCATTTCACAGGGAAATGCATTTGTTCTGAAGGTGTGTCCAAAATGAACAGGAGAACGACCTCTTCTGCATTACAAGCCATTCCTTGAAAAAAGGTTTGGCGTACCTATAAGCATGCAGATTGCCCATATTGAAGACTCTGTTTCCCAGATTAGCAGGAATAGTAGTGTGCCAGAAAGATTGTAGATATACCTGATCAAATATAAAACGGTTCGCAACTCGTTTGATAGTGCTAGCATCCACAGCATCAATCCTGGCACATAATTCTGCAAATGGAATTCTGCGTCCATATGTAATTAGCTGCAAAAACAAGCAACTTGAGTAAGATTATAGCAACATTTCCCAATACATCCACACACTAGAAAGGCTAAATCAAGAAAAATAAACCCACACAATGGATGTGATCATGTGACTTGCGTCTTTAACACACATGTGGTCCGTGCCTATTTTACTTAGTAGATAGGTACTCTACAGAGCGGCATGTGTCTTTTCTTTGGTAAGGTCTTCATCACCTTTTGCACTATTACTCTGAAAGAACGGCCTAAAAAGTAGTCAATTGCTTCAACACTAAACATCGGGTGTAAAGGAACCAGAGAAAAGAAAGGAGGCTCAATTTAGCCAAACCCTAGTGTTGGCAAAGGCTCTATCGGGTTGAGAAAAGAGCAAAATAATTAGACAATTTCATCCATCCTTTTCATTGTTAAAGGTCAACCCAGACAATCAAAAGGGAACATCAAGCACGCAGCAACCTCAGTCGTCAAGCACAAGCAGGAAACAAAAATGCTCAGAATCCACCACGAAGCAACAATTTCTCTGATGCTAAGTTTTGCATTTAACAGATACTATTGCACTTCGGAAAAAAGAGAACACCTGACGTCCAATGTCTTCAGCAACAGGGCTGGTCCCATCAATGTGGAGGAGCAAATTAGATTTCAGCTGCAAATAGCATGTTAGTTAGGAAATCAGCTGGATTGACGTATAGTTATTTGCATGCAAGCAAGACAATATTTGGTTTCTCAAGTAATTGAACTTTTGCAGTCCTCTTCACACAGATACAGGGAATGTGTCACTTCTCTTCACAAGTCAAAAATCACCACATGCACCATTTTTCTTCTAAAACTTTTCCTTTCAGCAAGTCCTGCTGATGGACACAAAGTGATGTGCGTGCTTAATGGGTTAAGATTTATTCCAACCCGATTAAGATTAATGCACATGAGCAATTGAGATCAAGGGGTTTAAATCTGTATTAAAACTGAGAAAGTGATGGTTATTGAATGGTTTCAGTTTTACATACACCGAATCTGGCTAAAATCCGAATCTGAAAGAAGAATAGGTTTCAAGTGTTTATGTTTATACTTTTTTGCTAACGACAATAAATTTTATTAAACATGATTAAATACAGGGAATCAGCCCGTCCAAATGGGATTCCAACCACTGATATCTCCCAAACCTCACTGTTATGGGCGGAAACCTTGTGCAAGGGGTATGAAGTTTTTTTTTATCACATCTATAACATTCATACAAACACCATATATACAAAAGAAAGAATTAATTCTGATTAATCATCAAATTCAACTTGGAAACTCAATCTCAATAATGACAACAAGCAAATCAAAATTTGACAGAGACGCATAAACTCCAATCCCTTGAGAACACTAAACTTAGCACAATCAACTCTTGTATACACATCTAAGAAGTGATTAGTCTACCTTTCAGTACTTATAGGGAGACTCAACAATAGATAATTAGATATAAATGTTCCACAGCAACTTAGCAGAAGGCATGCAAACCAACAGCATTAGGTCAATTAAGTTAGTTACAACAATTGATTAAACTTGATGAATGCTAGAAATCAAAAGGCGCTACAAAGAAAAATAAGGTGCCAAGGACAAAGTACTCAACAATATTTTTGTGTGCTAAATGAGCTTCAGCTCAACAAACATAAAGCCACTGAAGATCAAAAGCAGTTACCTAACAAAATACATAAAAATGCATTTAAAAATTATTAGAGCTCATGTGGAGGAAGAAAATATATCGTGATTGATCAGAAACGATAATAGGGACCAAACGAAAATCCTTTTCTATTTTAATAAGACACAGTCAATGCCTGAGATGAAAATCTCACAACATTGTCGAGAAGTAAGAAGCATACTTTCTTACCTGATTACGAGCACGAGTAACATCAGCTTCTTGAACTCGGTAACATAACTTACTTGTCTCGTACATTATAGCATAAGCTAAATCGTCCAAGCAGTCTGGCTGAATAAAAGGAGCAGAGAAAGTCATCAAGGATTCCAACAGAACGACAATAGAAGTGCTGAATGAGGAAAACAGATGCTAGCTAACAGTTTGTTAGACATACGAAGATTCAACTACAAAGATTGATTTAAATATCTTTTAAAACCACCATACCATACAATACTGGCCCACAGTGAATGCAATGTGCATGAATCTTAAAAGTTTTATTCATAGAATAGAATCAAATAATATGATGGAAAGGCTAACATGAGTAAGTTCAAGGAGCAGTCAGGAAAATAGTAAGCACTCTCAGGATTATACATAATAATCAAAAGTCCTGGAAAATAGTATTCAAGAAATTAAGCTGTAACGAATTTTTTACATCAACCAATATGACAAACCGAAACAGAACTCACCTTGGCGACAGCATACACACCAAATAGGCCTGTGTCTTTATAATTTGTGTTAAAAGCCATCATACTCTCAGCTATCTCGTTAATGCCAACCCACTGTGCGAGCTCTGAACTGTCAACAATTACCAAACCACTAAGATTAGAGCACCAACTAGGGAACATATGGTGGCCTTTCAAAGGGAACCAATGGGGCTTTGTTAGGTTAATAAATATGAGTGGAAACAAATCCTCCATCGCTGTAGCCAATTCGTCCCTAAATGAAACAAATAAATTATTTGGAAAAAAAAGGTAGAACTGGGATGACAAGGAGCCATCCTTCCTGCCACATGCGAAAATGGAAAGGGGATGCCAGCATGATTTTCCAGCCAGCTCAGGCTATGACAATTCCACATGACAACTAAAAACTCACGACAGATCTGATCTCAGAAGGTCAAAGAAAGAAGACCAACCCCATATGTTTTCCTCCTCCTGCATTCTTGCTCCATGATCCCAACATAAATTGCATAACCATCAAAGCAATAGAATCTGGATCTGTCCATGATGCTCCATTGAACGCAACCGCAAAATGAGCAAGAGGCTTATCATCATCAACAATCCGAACCTGATTTTCATAAAACAGTAAACCAAAACATTAGAAGTACTGATATCATGAATACAACAGTGCATATATATATTGACATGAATTACGAGTTATCTAATCGCATGCACCTCAGAACCAGTGAATATTGCCGGTTCATTGACAACTAACTGAGAAGTAGTTGTGGGATTGGCTGACAGCTTTGTGAACAGCTTCTTCACAACCTCAACAACTTCTTCATGCTTAACAGCTCCAGCAGCAGAAATTACCTGAAGCAAATATCCACCCAGAAAACCCACAAAATGTCTTCTGAAAACACTAATTTGGCACAGCTAACACAAAGAAACAAATAACCAGAGTATTAACCAGAAAAATGCTATTATCTCCATTCTCCCCAGATCGATTTGATTACCATTCGGTGAGCAGCATAGTGGGTTGAAATATAATCTTCAATGTGTTGTTTTGTAATTTTCTTGATGTTCTCAGCAGGCCCCAGAATGGTTCTGCCCAAAGGAGTGTGCTGGAATGCAGTAGCATGTAAATGGTCAAAGATTACTTCCTCATATTGTTCTCCCACCTACAACAAAAATTCCCATTAGAAAAAACATCACAAATCTCTTGTCAGATTTCAATCAAATTGCGTATTAAGTATAACCAAGGGGTCAGTTACAGCTGATTTGAGTTAACAAATTCACTGCTTTCCACCATTCAGTAAGGTACACAAACGTCTTTCCACCATCTCATAAGCCACTAATACATGTATTGACACAAGATCCTTTATGTAAGAAATCAGTTATGTCTTAATCAAGTTACTCTTTCTCACTACGATCATTGAGAGTAATATGTAAATCGTCGACGTGCATAGAAAATGTCTGACGCAGAACCTTTATAAAATAAGACACATTGCAGCACAGACAAACACATATATTTTGATAAATATATATATTTGTGTACACTATGTCATGTTTTTTATTGTAACTTAATTCGATATAATATGAGTTAATTTATAAAAGTAAATTTTCAAAGAACAACCAGACAAAGGATTCTGTAGGCAATACAATGTGTTCTGAGCATTCCGTTAATACAATCTGTTCTGAGCATTCCGCTAAAAGTTATATCTTGTATAAGCATACATCTTGTGAAGGAATTCATACATATAACCAAGTATTGGGTCAAAAAAAGAAAATAATCAAAAACCCTTTTATCTGATGATTAGGGAAGTCTGTTGTTCACTGATATGTCCCCAGGATCATTAGATTCTTTCCCGGGCTCTTTTGGATGGCCCGCTAAGCCAGCCCAATAGGCTATGCAGCCTATACTTATCCTATCCACCTCTTAACCCAGGTTTGAGATCTGATAAATTATCCAGACTTTATATCAGCTCTGCAGTCAAACATAACCATACCATGAGGGTGGTGGTATAATTACATCTGGTGTCCGTAAAATGTCCTGCCCTTGGTCAACATTGTTCAGAGCCTATTCCATCTCAGGCATAGAATAGATGGCTAATGACCCAACCCAATTTCAATAGCTGAAACTCATCAACCTCGCCTGCATCAACATCATCTACCGCTAAGTTCTTTATTCTTCTCTCACGTGTGTCTCCTCTTTCTTCTTCTTGAACAAATTTCATTTTTGTTTTCTTTTCTAGATTTTTGCAGGGAAACCAAGAGTCCAACGATAAGAGAAAAACATCACGCTGATCCCAAAAACCCTTATGAAACCACGTATGAGAACTTCCCATCATGCGTTTGATGTGCATATTAAATTTCAAGAGACGATAACAACCACCAGAAAGATAAATAATAGTAAACCAGAAAAATTTGCACAAGAGTATATGATCACAACCATAGCACAGAACACAAAAATTCTCCTAAGGCCTGCCATTTCTGTGCATCATTGTTTGAGTTGTCAAGCACAGGGAACCGGTTAACAACAATTACAATCAAAGTGCTCTAGAATCAATAGCTTCAAATACCTACAACTACACCTATAAAATGCAATTTTGGAAGCCAAACTACAGATCAAAAGAAAATTACCAGAACGTGATGGTTCTAGAACGTGCAAATTTCAATTGAACAAAAAACATAAACATAAATTAGATATGCCTAGATGATATGAGGTGCTAGAAAACGATAAGCAGTGAAACACAAAGGAAATCGTTGAGAGATTATATGAAAAACTGTTATACTTTAAAGTGCAACATGATGAGAATCACATGTCCAAAGCAAAAACCAGGTATCTTGGAACGAATTCGACCAAGACATAAATGCATTCACGAAAAGATAGTGGTGGTAATTGTTCTCAAGCCACACTTCTCATGACTGATACAGTCCAATAAAGATGCAGTCTCTAATGAAGAGCAAAGATGAGTTGCAACTTACTGAAAAAAAAGAGGAGCGGAAGTGATTGGAAAAGGCATTTTAGCCAATACAATGCAATATGACGGAAAGGAAACCAAAGTTCTTATGGTTGACCCCACATTGCAGTACAATATGTTCGAGTTCTGGTAATAAAATCCAGCCCAACGATATGAGGATTAACATAAATATATTTGAAAATGCTCTTACAGCTAATGAGGGTGAATAAATCACACAATTATCATAATCATTTTCAAAATAGAAGGGAGTTAGACACAGTATATGCTGGCTAAAGCCACCCGCCACTAAATCAATCTAACAAACACAGCTGTCAAGAAATGATTGTGTGAACCCCATGGACACAGCTATAACAAAGTGAAATGGTGAAATTATAGACTCAACTGACGTGCAATATTCATGTCCTGCAATGTTTTTTTCTTTGTTTTTCATGTTTTAAATAAATGACATGATACCAAAAAAATAGTCTAAATTGGTTGTACTAGTGAATCTCCCAGCTCTCACCACTGCTTCCACTTCACGTTACCTATTCCATTAGGAACTGTAATCCATCACATTCATGCATGTAACGGTATTGATACTCCTAAAAGATGTTATAATTCCTCGCAGGTAAATCTTGGTTTTCGTTTTCTTTGTGATGGCCCGGAAGTTTGCTTCGCTCTTCAACTATTCCTATTCCCAACCCCTCTTGTCAACCAACCAAGATGGTGAAAATGCCCGAAGATGAGCTAAGCTATTAAAGCTCTTAAGTCAGGGTCCGAAGGAGACTCGACTGTTAAGGAGAGGAGGGAAGTCAGTAAGAAAATTCACCACTGCTTCCGCTTCACAATGAGACCTATATATCTTTCATTCACTCGAACCCTTTCTACTTGGAAGACATTAGAATTGCTGTCTATCCAGGTTGCATAATCGTAAGGTCAGTTAACCAAACTTAGTTCACCAAAGCTAGAAACATGTTGAATTTACTTAAGCATGCAGTAAATTGTATCCACGCTTCCAAGTGTCTTGTAAACGCTATACTTCGATGTGTTAGATGAAATTTTCACATCCGCCAACTCAAAGTTCCAGTCAGAACTAGTGAAATTCTACAATTTAAATAGCACCTGATATTATAACTACTGAAAACTTGTGAAAGTCTAACATGGCAAAAACTGAAATAGAAGAAAGCCCATTACTTGTTAACACTGAACAATTACCCATAAAGAAATTCATACTAATTTTTTCAAAATAACATTAAATCTGACAACAAACATTACCGCTTCCATCTCCTGAAGAATCACACCGCGCTCGCGATCAATCCGACCATCCTCAAACGCAGAATTCTGCAATATGTCCGCCAGAATATCAAGCGACTTGGGCACATCCTTGTCCATTACCTTAGCGTAATATGTGGTCTGCTCTCTCGAAGTGTACGCATTCAAATGCCCTCCCATGTTCTCAATCTCCTCCTCCAAAGCCCTAACATTCCTCGACGCAGTCCCCTTGAAAATCATATGCTCCAAGAAATGCGCAACGCCGTTAGTCTCATCGGTCTCGAACCTCGACCCTGCGTCGATCCACACTCCGACGGTGGCGGTTTTGGAAGCGAGGTTTGACTCTGTGGCAACTCGGAGGCCGTTGGGGAGAGTCGTGACTTTAGTCTCAGGCGCGGAGAGAATTCCGGTGTGGGTGGTTAGGGTTGGGTATGGTGAGGCGTATCGGAGAAACCTGGGGTCGGGGTTTTCGAGGCGTTTGAGCCTTGATTTAACGCCTTCGGCTAGGCGGTCATAGATCATGAAGTCTTTGGGAGGTGGGGATGCTGGAGGTGTCGATTCATGAGTTTGAGCGAGAGATTGTGAAGAGGATCGGGAGGTTTGGGTTAGGTATGGTGGAGAGAGAGGCCGTGAGGGGTTTCGGGAGCGGCGCGTGAGGTTGAGGAGGTGGCGAGTCGCCATGGACGGTGGTTGTGATAGATTCAAAGGTTTGGATTTGATGATGTACTTGCAAAGTTTAAGTAGAGAGAGAGGGTGGGGGAGTGGACGGGACTGTGGAGCAGTGGATGGTGGTGAAGGAGGTGAACGAAGAAGAAGAAAGGAATTGGTAAAAATTTATCTGTAGAGTTTGTTGGATGGTGAAATGACACGTACTTTCAATACTTATGTGGAAAACTTTTAATTTCTTTATTTATTGTTAGTAATTCTACAATGTCAAACATGTTATTATTTTTATTTAACTCTTATGTGGTTTGCTCAAAAAAACTCTTATGTTTTATTTGGTAATAGAAGAATGAAAAATTTAAGAAAAAATAAAATTATATTTGATAAGAAAAAAATAAGAATAATAAAAAGTGAATGATGAGTTTTTCTTCTAATTCACCAAAATTAATTACTCTAAAATTGTAAGAAAAAGGTAATTATTAGTGTTAAAATATATTTTATTTATCTATATATCCATTAATATATATATATATATATATATATATATATATATATATATATATATATATATATACTTAGGAAGAATTACACTTAGACCTCCTGAAGTTTGTCATTTAATCACTTAGATCCCTAATATTTAAAATATTATATACAGACCCTATGAGGTTTGTACTTGTTGTAAATATATCTGTTAATTAATTATACTTAAACTCCCTAAAGTTTTTAAGTATATAATACTGATACCTCTTAAGTTTAAAATATTATACTTAGATCAAAAATACTCCTATCAAATATATTTTAAATTTTATAATCAAAATTCATGTTCTATTGTATCATTTATTGAAATAAAATTAAAAATAAAAAAATTAATTTTTTTCTTAAAAAATCTTAATTAGTATACAATTATATTATCTATTGGAATAAAACTAAAAAATTAAATAATGGGTCTAAGTCATTCATAATATAACATAAATTTTACATCCAAAATTCATGTTCTATTTTCTCATTTATTGAAACAAAATCAAAAACAAAAGTCTAGTTTTTTAAAAAAATCGTAGTTAGTATATAATTATATTATCTATTAGAATAAAACTAAAAAACTAAAAAAATTAAACAAGGAGTTAAACTGTAATTGACACAATATCTTTTAACTTTAATTGGGGTAGTTTGGTATTTTAATTTAAGAAAAAAATTAAATTTTTATTTTTGATTTTATTTCAATAAATGATACAATAGAACATGAATTTTGATTGTAAAATTTAAAATATTTGATATTTTATCTTTGATTGCATTATTTTTTGTCTAAATATAATATTTTAAACTTCAGGGGTTTAAGTATAATTTATTAACTGATATATTTACAGTAGGACCTACGTGTTGCACGAGTACAAACCTTAGGGAGTCTGTATGTAATATTTCAAATGTTAGGGGATCTGAGTGATTAAATGACAAACCTCAAGGAGTCCAAATATAATAATCCCTTAATTTTTTTATAAAAATCTATATAATAATATAACTCACAAGTTGAATGTTATCATCTACACATTTTCCCCCTAAAAAAATCACACCACTCATTTTTATCATATGTCCAATTATTTTAATATTTGATTAGTTTATAGTTTAATATAATTTTTATTTCAAATATTATCCATACACAATAGTATACAAACGTTTAAAAAAATTATCGTATCCTGTATTTTGAAAAAAAAATGTCAATATTTAAAAAAAAACAATGGATAAACATAAATTTTAAATGATGTAATAAAAAAAATGAAAGAAAAATATTATATTTAATATAGTGAGATAAAAAATTTTTGGCAGTCGAATTTTACATTTCATCGTTCCTTTAGGCACAATTTTATGACTAGTATAATGATAAAATATGTATTTATATATTTTTTTTAAAAAAAATAAAAAAAATATTTTTTTCATCTTACCAAGCACAAAAAAAATAATCATTTTTATTTTCCATTCATCCAACCAATTACAAAGGAAGAAAAATGTATTATTTTTACTTTCTTTCATTGAATGATAAAAAGTGTATCACTCATACTTTTCATCTCTCCTATTTTCTATCATTAGACTCTTTCATTTCTAAGACACCTTCAAATTTATTTACTCATTGTTATTTATTTTTAAAATAAAAAAAATTAAATTCCTACATTATCTATATCTATACAAATATAAAAAGTGAGGATGAGTGAAAAACTTTTATTTGACAAAATTAGCCCTATAAAAACAACTAATGTCACTAATATTTTACTTTCTCACATACTGCTTATACGTTTCTTTTTCTTGAGTAAAGGTTTACGGACAGTCGCTCATCCAAAGTGAATACATCCAATTCATTTTATCTTAATTGTTGTAATTAATCCCAGCATCAAGTGTCACTCATACCTTCCAGCTTCCATATTTGCATGCCTTCTAGATTCATGCCTTCCAACTTCCCCATTTCGTTATTTGCATATTTGTCTTTCTTACCGCTTTTGTGAGTTGCATTTTCTTTGTCGGATTAGCAAACAAATAGAGCAACATTCATGCTAGCAGCATAAGGTTCAAGGGGATTTATATTTAATCAATTTATATGTTTGAATGTTATGTTTTTCTATTAGTTGGCCAAGGAACAGTCAGGGAACGCATTAATTGGTATCACATCTCACATTAGATTTGGAAGACGCCATGGAATTGTAAATTGATTAATAAGATTTCAAACCATAGATATCTCGATTTCTTATATATATAGTAATTTATATTTTTTTAGTTGTCTAAATCGTGAAATTTAAGGCTTTGTAATATCTGACGTTATGGACAATCTAATTAGCAAATGATTAAGGGCGTGTTTGGATGTGCAGATGCAGGTTATTCATTTTCAAAACATTTATTATTTCAAAATTGAGCAAGGTGTTTGATTGTTTCAATCAGCCACATACATATGATTCAATCATTAAAAAACAATTGTGCATGAGTTTGGTTTCAAAAATAACGAATTAAATTTATGCCTATGTTATTCGGACATCCAAACATGCCCTACATTTGTGCAGCAAGATAGGGCTGGTGTGGGGTATATTTCGTTTTGGATTATCTTTATTTGATTTTAAAAGTGTCTAATTGGTTCATATTAATGAGTTATCAGGTTCACTTTTCGATTTCTTTATTAGATGACATAGTATGTTCTGGTTACCAATTATATTTGATCAACTTATCCATGTGACATTTTTCCTTACATTAGATTTGTTTGTATTTTTTTTTATCTGCATTATTGCATTGAGCAATGATGAATTGATGTTACACTGGTTTGATTATTGTAACTTGGATAGAGTTGAACTCCATTCTTAATTAACCGTCAAGTCGTTGTCATTGCCATTGCCATATACTAGTACAATTTACTCATAAATTGTTGAGATTGTGATGTGGGATATTATAAGTCATGGATCACTTCAGAATTGGAAACATTATTCAATTCAAGAAGGCAAGTACCTGTTTCCCCTATCCCTCATTGAAGGGTTTTGTATAAAAAGCTAGAGAAATAAAACTTGAGATCTCGTTTGGTAACGTTTACGTTTTTCGTTTTTATTTTGATTTTTAGAGTAAACAAGAAAAAAAAAAATCGTTTGATAACCAATTTTTTTTTTCTGCCACCATTTTATAAACGAGGGGCGATTTTCAAAAACAAAAAAAAAACATTTTTGAAAAAAAAACAACGTTTAACGCGCATTTATTTTTAATGAGGCCAAGGATTCGAAACTTATTAGCACAAAAAAGACACTCATATAAATAGCAATACCCAAACCCTAACCCTTCAAACTTGTCTTCGTGCCTCTCAGTTTCATCGCCTCTCTCTCTCTTTGTCTCGCCTCTCTTCTTCGTCGTCAGGCCTCTTTATCGGCTGTCCTCTTCATCACCAGACGCCTCTCCTCTTCAACAAAGGCATTGATAATGGTTCTACTCTGCGTCGATGAAGGTACATCCCTTTGATTTTTGTTAATTTTTTTTTCTCTGATTTCTGTTGATTTTTTTCTCTGATTTTTGGTGGTTATAGATCTGATTTTTGTTGGTTGTAGATCTGATTTTTGCTAACGTCTTGTTATAGATCTGACTGCTGATTTTTTTCTCTAATTTTTGCTGGTTATAGATATGATTTTTGCTAATTATAGATCTGATTTTTTGTTAATCTCTTGTGTGTTGTGTTGTTGATTAATGTCATAAGAAGAAATCATTAGAAATTGTAAAAATGGGGGGAGTCCAAAACTTGAGTACACACACAAAGGTAGAAATATTAAAGGAACTAACTCATATGATCTACTATAGTACACAACAATCATGCTTCAAAATTACATATAGTGATCAAAGTGAAATCACACAAGTGAATTCGACCTAACCAAAAAAAAATTTTTTGGACTTAGCCAAATTTTTTTTTTTTTTTGGGATTTAAACAATCTTTCTACCATCATTGGTGAGCTTGATAGCATGCACCTATTAGTGACTTTGTATTTGTGTCAGAAATGTGAAACTTTTCTTGTTTGAAGAAATGTCTTGAATCTATTTATGATATCAATCTTGTGAACATTACATTTAACTATTATTTTGTCATTTGAACTTAGGTCCCTGTACGGATTTTTCATTAGTTCATAAACTCATGTATCCATTATGATCAGTTATTTACTTATTATTTCATTTACCACCAAAATTACTTTAGCTGAATCATATGATAACAAAAAATTTATGCTGCCTGGGAAATAGTTTTTTTTTAATGGTGAGAAAGAAAGAATGAATGAGAGGCAAGCTGCAATACATTTTTTTCCCACCCCGAAATCTGCTTTTAAACCCTTTCTTTCATTTATATATCTCTTCTTTTCCCTTCCATGAAGAAAGCTTGAGATTGCTTTCTAGAAAACTTGAAATTGTTTTTCTTTTATGTTGTATTGCTGATTTTTCTTTTATGTTGTAATCCTGATTTTTTTTTTTGGTGTTGTATTGCTAGTTTTTATGAAGATTGCTTTCTAGAAAGCCTTAGAAAT